ACTTCTCGGCCCCTGTGAACTGGCTCTGCGCTGAGCTGCGCTCGGGGTCTCCAGCGGCCCGCGACCAGTGGCATGGCCCAGGAGGGGGTGTGGGAAATGAGAATGGCCAGAGGGCTGGATTGTAAATTCCAGAGAAATCTCTGACGACCGCGCTGTCCTGAAAAAAAAAAAAATTTTTTTTTTTTTTTGAGGGTGGTGGGAGGGTCAGTGAGCCGGGACAGCTGGTTCCCGAGGTGATCAGATTTGAAGGGAATTCTGAAAAAGCTCTTCCGCTGTCAAAGTTGCCGGCTGCCCTTGCGCATCCCCTCTCCGTGGGTTCTCCAGAGCAGGCGCCCCGAGCAGGCAAAGCTCAGCTCAGCATCCACGCCGAGGGGAAGGCGAGCATTGCTGCGTGCGGGCCCAGGCGGGAGGAGCCTTGGGAGCGCGCGGTCCGCCGGGCGCCCCGCCGCCGGCCTCTTGCTTGGACGGAGCAGAGCCTACGTCTCCTTCGCCACCAGGTAGAACTGGAAGGAGGAAGCGCCTTGAGATCCACAGTTACAAGACCCTCGATAGTAACGGGGCGACTTTGTTTATTTCTTTCGTTTTGCGTTAGCCAGGGTTGCTTCGAAATCGTACCACGGGAAAATAACCTGTGGGGCGAAATCCCGACAGAACCCGAACACTTACAGCGTCTGGAGGCAGGCGCGAGATTATCGGGGTCGTTTTCTGGGCGTTTTTGGGCAGGTCGAGAGCCCCCCCAATTCCAGATCGGTCATTAAAATGACTCTGGGCTTGCAGCGTCTGTGAAACTTAGCAGATTTGGGAGGAAAAGGTACGGATTTGGGACTGGCAGGAGTATGGAGAGGCACCGATCAGACCTCGACTTTGGGCTTTCCTCCCTCCCCCATGAAGAACTCGTGGGGGACCGGGGAGCCAGGGGTTAAAGTCGGCCCGGGAGCATCCCCGGACTACCCGCGCCGAGCCTTGGCCCGGGCCTCAGTCTCTCCCCTTCTTCCATTGGCCCGAGCTCCCAGGGTTTCTCCTGTTCCCTCCTCGCCATTGGTCGGGGGCTGGCTTTTTTTCCCCTCAGACTTTCTCTTCCTCCCCCTCCCTCTCCCTCACCCCACGGACAGGAGCGCACCGCCTGCCCCCAGCTCCTTGGGAAGGGAGGAATTCAGAAAAAAAGTTTCCCAGAAGTTTGGATCAGAGGAAGGACGGGAAGACCGAGAGAGGAAGAGGGAGAGGGAGGAGAGAAAAGGGAGAGGGAGGAGAGAGAGAATAAAAAAAAAAAAAAAAAGATGAAGTCCAGTCTGCACAGCCTGTGAGCGCCTGCCCCGGTGGGTGGGAAGCAGGACTCGGGCGCTCATGCAGCGAGCGGGCGGCGCTCCGGGCGCTCGTTCCTAGCCGCTGGGGCAGCCAGGGGCGCTGGTCCCGGCCGGCAGCGGAGGGCGGGGGAGGACGCAGGGGGAGGGTGCAGAGGAGCCGCAGGGCCGCCGCCTCTCCCGGGCCCGGCCCGGCGGGCGCTCGGAGCGTGAGGGCGCGGGCTGTTCCCTCAGTAGCGGGGGCGAGCGGAGGCCGGGGTGCGGGCGGCTAAGATGAGTGAAAGGAGAAGATCTGCAGTCGCCCTGAGCTCGCGAGCACATGCCTTCTCGGTTGAAGCCCTGATCGGCTCGAATAAAAAGCGGAAACTGAGAGACTGGGAGGAGAAGGGGTTGGACCTGTCCATGGAGGCGCTGAGCCCCGCGGGCCCACTCGGAGACGCGGAGGACGCGGCCGCACACGGCCTGGAGCCTCACCCGGGTGAGTGCGCAGGACCGGACCGACGGAGGCGGGCGGAGCGGGGACGCGGGCGGACTGGTGTGGAGGGAGGCCCTGCTCGCTGACGCCCTGCCGTGCTCCAACGCGGGTTTCCCTTTCTTTGCGCAAATGTCAGCAGCCTTCCCCAAGTTCGCCGCGGACAATTTGGGGGAACCGAGCCTTGCATTTTCTTCGCCAGCCTCAAGCAAAGAGGCCTCGGTCCCATCCCTTTCTGTTCTGGGACCGGAGCGCACGGTTCTGGGGTTTACAGCTGAGCGGCCGCAGGCCCCTGGGGTTGAGGAGGGGCGCAGATCGAAGGCGACCACAGGAGTGGAGAGGGGCTGGGATTCGCTTCTGAGAGCTCCAGAGGACCGGCGCGGAGTTCTCGGGCGCGATACCCAGTCTCGGGAAATGCCCGGTCTGTCCCATTTAGCCTCCGGCCTCGGTCCTCGCCCTTCCCCCACCAATTTTTCGGGGACTCAAGTTCTTGTGTTTCCCCTACTCGGGAGACGACGCAGCATAATTATATTTCTCCTTCACAGTGCTTATGGAAAAAGGTTGTATGTTAGACCTCTCACCCTGCGCCCTGGGTCACTCTTAAGGGCCCACAGGTCTGTGTATTGGGGGGAGCAGAGCGATTAATTTGTGTCTCGGATCTATGCACAGTGTATGCACACCACACGTAAAACACAGAGCCGACGTTGGTATCTGTATTTTAGCAGAAACCTGGATGGGTTGTTGAAGGAAGGGGGAGACAACTTAACGTTTTGTATTAAGTGCCAAGATTTCCACTGTGCAAAACAGCCCCTGGGAACAGCTGTTGTCGGAAGAATCTTGCGCGCGCGCGCGCGCGCGCGCGCACACACACACACACACACACACTTATACACGTACGCTTGCAGCTTGGTTTAGCGGTTTCAGAAACTTTCCAGCCAGGACTTCTACTGCTATTCTAGAGGTGCTCCTGCTGACCAGCTAGGGTTGGGGAGTAAACCTGCGTCAGCGCGCTGGAAAGCGGAAAGCCAGGGTGGGGGCGGCGTCTCGCAAAGGGATGGGGGGCGACCACGGGCCCAAGAGCTTGGGGACCGAGCTTGGGGCCCAGGGGCTTGGGGGCTGGAAAACTGGCCGACCCAAGGAGGGACAGCTGTCGCTTACATTTTCTCTTTCGGCAGTGACAGTTCAATTTCCATGCTCCCGAGGCTAATAATAACGCGATTAGCGGGTGACTTGCAGAGACCAGAGTTTTATGAATTCTCCGTGTTCTTGTGGCCCGTTACGGTATTTGAGTTTAGTGCTGGGGAATTATTTTTATTAGTCGATGAAAAGAAAATTAAAAGGAGATTTATTTCGTCCGCTCAAATCTTTCCCTGTATTTGGATGCGGGTGCCTGTCCACGCGGACCCCTGTGTGGGCAATCCAGAAAGGAACGCGTGGCTAATGTGTGTTTCCCATCTCTGGCCAGACCCTATTTCCACACCGCATTTAGATGTTGTCAGAATCTCACTTGGGCCTTCACACAGTTTAGTGGAAGTTCTTTCAAGGCCTCATGACAACTCATGATTAGGGAAGTTAGTTTATTTTACTTTGCTGATGGTGGAAGAGACAGAAATTATTCAACTGCGTGTGGCAGGCACCGTGGCCGCGGGTACTTTTCTCCAGGGAGAGGAGGCCAGGTCGGCTGAAGCTGCGTCTAGGGTCACTGGTTCAAAAGGACCAACACCTAGAGTCATAATCAGAGACTCAGTTTTTACAGTTTTCTCTTTCTGCCGTTCTTCTCAGCTATAGTGAGGAGAGAAAAGGTTGGAAGAAGGAGAGACCAGTCCAGAGACATAAAGGCCAGGACCTGTTTTCCAAAATGCTGTTTTCTTGCTCTCACAGTATAGGGGTAGGGGGTGATGACCTAACACAGAACTTTATGTCACACAGAGTTCGGCTGACCCTTTCCCATTTCATTTTATCGTTTTTTTTTTTTTTAAGAAAAAGATGGGCATTTGGATTAGAGAAAACGAAATATGTTTGTGGGGCTAAGGCCGGGGAGAAAGAAGGAGCTGAAAGACCAGAGCACTTTCGGGCCTCCTGTGGGGCCAGGCTACCAGCTGGGCCTGGCTGCGCCCTGCACCCAGGGAATCTCCAAGCTGGAGCCCCCTCCGCAATGGCCAAAGCTTTCTTACCACCCGGACATAGAAAGAGAAAAGATCTTTCAGAAAAACTGCACGGTGGTGTGCAGCCTCCGCAGTCCCCAGAGTGGAGGAGGCGGAGTTGCAGCCTCTGGGCCTGGATCCCGGCGGAAGGCGGAAGGCGAGGCCAGGGTTTGGGGTCCCCAAGTAGGCCTTTCCTTTTCCTCTGGTACAGAGCCCTTTAAAGGTATGTGTGTCGTGGTGGAGGTCAGAGAGGGACACAGGCGACTCCCTTGTGCCCCAGGCCATGCCTCTGCCGGCCTTGGCCTCAAATGATTTAAACCCCCATTTTGGATTAGGACCGAGAGCAGGCTGGACCGGCTGCGTGGCTTGCCTGCGCTAGGCCGATGATAAGAAGTCAGGAATGGGGGAAAAAAAGGACAACAAAAACAAAATTGCCACGGAGCTTGGGGGAGGATTAAACAAACACGCACACAGATACAGACAGGACACCCGCCTGAAGCAACTGTGTTTATCATTTTGACCATTTCCTGGCTCTGACTGGTACCTCCGTTTCCAGCCCTCCCTTCTGGTGCCTCAAAATCCCAGGATCCTGAGATAATGCAAGGGTTAGATTTTAACGTTTAACTTTTATTCAAAGACGTGGCCTTTTGCTTTTTCACAGCCCGTTTTTCCTTCTGCCTCCGGACAGAGCTGGCTTTAGTTGGTGCCCAGAGCCCGCAGCCCCGGGGGGGCGCCAACCTACAGCAGCCGGGGACCAGCCCAGCCTGCGCACTGTAGGAACTCACACATCAGAGGACACACAGTATGTATTTCAAAATTTTCCACCGAGCCTGCTGCTCCCGAAAAACCCTGAGACCCACAGGGTCTTGGAGAAGGGCCTGTGAGGTGCCCTCATTATTGCTATAACTCTGCGTCTTTTGGAAAAGCCGGCAGGACACAGCCGCCGCGGGCACGGGAGGGTCTCCGAGGAGACTGACTCCTGATTCTCCGGCCTGCTGGCCCCCGCCTCTCACCAAAGCTGCAGCAGGGAAAACTTTTGAGCCGGGATCGCTCGGAACAGCTGCTCCGGCTGCGGCCTTGGAAGTGTATTTCAGGCACGCGGCAGCGCCATCTGCGCTGGGACCCCAGCCCCGGCTCCGCCCGGCTTCCCCAGCTCCAGTTTGGGCCTTTCCCGCCCAAATCCACTGCCGAGTGCGGCCGAGGTCCGGTCTCCCGCGGAGCGAAATAATTCAAACCTTCTGCGAAAGGATTTCCCCCTCCAGGGCCTGCGGCCCTAAGCCTCGCAGCCACGGCGCTCCGGAAGTCTTAAGAAGGTGGCGGCGTACGCGGGTGGGCACACAAAGCAGGCACACTCAAGAACATGCAGGCGGATCTGCTCTCCGCGCACATGTGCACACGTGTCAGGATCGCGGGTCCCGCGCACCCATCTGCACAATCCCTAGTGAAAGGAGACAGGAAAAGCCCGTGCAGTGCCTCAGGGCTCGCTCTTCTCTCGAATGACCGAGATCAACTGTTGACGAGAATTAATCTGCCAGTTTTATGGCTTGTTTGCTCAGAGTAAAACCCAAGATTTTAATCCTGACATCACCCCTCCACCCACCCCACGCCCCAATAGGGAAACACGGGGTCAAAACGGAGGAAGTGCCTCTTCATTGAAGTTTAAGTAATGGAGAAAGAGCGTTGAGTTTGAAGCCAGTGGGGAGAGTGCACTTGTGCGGGGCAAGAACTAGCCAGGGCACAGGTCGGGGCGCAGACTGTGGGGCAAGGGTAATGGGGTGCGCAGGGTGAGAAGCCAAGGTGTGTGCCTGAGGGAGAGTCCGGGGCGAGGAACACTGGTTCCTCAGTGGTGCGTGCGCCCCTACGCCAGTGCAGGCCTCGGAAGGTGCCGGGCCTGGAAACGAGGATGAGCCAAGTGGGGTGCCTGCTGGACATGCGCAAGGCTCTCGCTTGCCGAGTGGAAATGGCCTTCCGCGGTGGCCGCCTGTTTGGTGAGTGACCTTGTGTGAAGGGGAGTGCGGGGGTAGGCTAGATCTGAATTGTCACAGGCTGCTGAGGATGGTTGTGCTCGGGATGACTGCCAAAGGCCCTTTTGTCGCGCAGGTGGGACGGTGGCTAAATCGGACGCCCTCTGGCTACTCCGGGCTGGGAGAGCGCACTGCACCGTTCCCGGGTGATGGGCAGGGTCCTGAAGACGTTCTTTGTAAAAGCCCGGCAGTGGCGCGGTGGCACAGTAGGAGCCCCCAGGAAGGAGGAAACAGTTCTAATCCCCTCCATCCCGCACTTGGAGCAAACTGCTGGAGGGCAGTGGGGAGGACAGGGAATTGGGAGGACCCTCGTGCCCTGCGTTTGGAATGGCCAAGGAAGGGAGGCGGAGTGTGCTGTGTCTTGCACCTCCTCCGGTCTTCTCGCGTTCGCCGCGCGCTTCACAGGTCCTCGGGCTGAGTGCGGAAGGTGCTGGGGTAACAGGCCAGCATGCGGGGTGAGGGTCTCTCCTTTGGCGTCTAGGCGGTGCCAGGCCCCTCGCCCGGCCCCGCCGCCCACCTCTGTCCCTCCGAGACCGGTCGGACGCGCAGGAGCTTAACGCCGGGAGCAACCTCTCCCGCACAGATCAGCTCCGGACAGATCAGCTCGCAGCCTAGGCGCGCAGCGCTTCTGAATTTGCATCTGCCACGCCCCACCCGACACCCTTTCTTATCGAACACTTTCTTTGGGTTCAGAGCTGGCCACTTGAGGTTTCCCGATTTTATAAATTAAACACTCAGAAAAGTTCGCGGCGTGGCGTTCATGCAAGAAGGGGGAATTAAATTTTTAATAGTGGAGTTCATACTGAAATTATACTGACATGTATCCGCTGCCGTTTGCCTGCCCCCCCATTACTTCAAATGGTATCAAGACCATTTTTTTAAATATTAAAGGAAATTAGTTTCAAATAAAAATTAATACATCGAGCTCGCGAGGAGCGCCTGAAGAATGGTATGATACCTAACCTGGGAGCCCAAACTGAGATGATTGGGTATTGGTGGTTGGTGTTCCCCGTTTATTTGTATAATTTCCTTTGTGTGTGAGGACATGCATTTAATGGAGGCAAGTCCCTCATCATTAATCCTTCATGTTGGGCCATAAGAGGAGAGGGACAAACACGTATTGGCTCAGAAGACCTGAAACATTTTGTTCATCCAAGCTTCTCCAAGGGCATTGCTAGTATTAAAGAGAGAAATATTTCAGGCCTGTCACAATTGTTCTCTCTGTTGCCAAAAATATAATATTAATAAGATGTAGGATCTTTTTCTTTTTTGAGATCCTGATTATGGACTCTGTTGGAAGTTTATTTCTCGCACCCAGGAGTAAAATGATTACTTCTTAAATCTGTCAATTCCTTCTCTAGGTGACTGTAGAGTTAAAAACAGAAACAAGACTGCGCTGAGAAGATTCCACAGGGATAAAGCGCAGAGAGCAGACTGGCATTTCACGTTCTTTTCTGGAAATGCTGAAATCCATCTAGTGATTATTATGGGGGGGGGTAGCTGGTTATTGCTTTTTTACTCCCAAAAGACAAAGACAAAGTAGTTCCGCGGGAGAGAATATTTAGTGGTTTTCTAGTTTTGACCTTTTGGGATATTTTTCCACAGGGAAAAAGTAGGGAACTGGTGGAATGTGGAATCTTTCCTCTTTTTTTCTCTTTCTTTCTTTCTTTCTTTCTTTCTTTCTTTCTTTCTTTCTTTCTTTCATCCATGTGGTTTATTTTTGCCTTGCCTTTTCTGGTTTCCAGTAAGCTCTAAATTTTATATGTGCATGGCTGAGATACAGGGGTCTGCACTGGAGTAGCAATTAGCAAATTTATAAATTAGGGTCTGTTTACACGTCTTTGGGCAAGGATAATCATTACTTAATTTAAGTGAGGCCCCTGCTCTAAGTGTCAGGATGGAAAATGAGACTCAGTAGGGAAGACGGGAGGTGAAATGGGAAGAGGTGGGGAATTAAGCAACTGGTGACGACAAATCAACATTTATGCGGTGCCATTAATGGCTTCACTTTGAGGCAGGACATTTTGCTGACTACAAACTGATGATGAGCTTTTGATACCAGAAGTGAAAATAGGCCTTGCACTTGATACTCTATTCTATGCTCTTTTTGCCAGCCAGTGTTTGGCAATGCCCTTTACACCTAAGTGTATAAAATGTATTAAAGAGTATGTAAACAGTTGTATGTCTTTGCAAACAAATTTATGTTTGAACTCTGCAGCTCTGAATGAGACATAGATAATATTTCAGGAAATATCAGAAAAATAATAGAGAAAGTAAAGTGCCCCTTCCTTATTTGTGGAACCAGTTAATAAACTGGAAACACCTAAAATTTGGGGGGCCAGAAATTTTGTCATCTCTAGGTATCACTTGACAATTCAAGAGAATCCCAGATTTGAAACTTCTAAGTATTGGCATTTCCATGTAGCTGTCAAATTAATTGAAGATTTTGACCAAAGTCTAAGAAAACAGCAGAAAAATGAGACTGGATGGATACGATTGAAAAGACCAGGAAGAGTGGAATTTTTTTCTGACTAAATTTGACATTTAATTTTGTGAGTAATGCCACCTTCATTTCAGATGGACAGAATGCTGGTTTATACTGAAGAATAATTTCATGTTCTTCCATGCAGAGAGTTAATGGGATTACAAAGGGAAATCTTAATCGAAATAACGAGGGAAACTGTGATTTGGGGACAGTACTTTAACAACACAGGAAATATGTGGAAAAATCTGTTAGTGTCTTGTATTTTCTTCAGTATAGTTGCCGAGGCTAAATGAGCTGTTTCCAAATTGCCACACACTTTAGAAAATCAACAACAACCCCGCCCCCCCCAAGTTTGGATTGCACACGTAATATCCTAATATAGCCTTCTTTTAAAAACCGGAATACTACAGACAACTGTAGAGTTCCCTTGAAGAGATCATTGTTGGTCATTATTATGCCCCTAGCCGGGGGCCCTGGCATTTTAGCGTCTGGTTCTTAACGGGGTGAACCGAAAGTCTCACTCCCAGCACCGGCTGCCTTCTCTGCTGTCTCATAGCCCCGAAAGTATGAAAGTATCGTCGAAGCCCCAGACGCGGGCTCGGGAAGCAGTCAACCCCCCTTATGCTCTCTTCTCCCCCCACTTCCCCTCCCCCCATATCCTGTTCCCCTCCCCCCACTTCCTACACGCTCAGTGAAACGCCCTTAGTTTTCCTCTCTCTCTGTCTCTCTCTCTCTAAAAGAAGTTGAGATGAAATTTCACCGAGGAAGGAGGTGGGATTGCATCTCTTCCCGTGAAACCAACCCTGGGAACATGGGGCGACTCGGGTAACCTTCCCAAGGGCGCGAATTGGGCCCGGGCGCGCCTGCCCTCCCCCGGCCCCTCGCCCCGGCCTCGGCGGCGCCTTGGGGCGGGAGCAGCTGCCGGGGCAGGAGCGCTCGGGCCCGACCGCAGTGCGCACCAGCCCCGCTCCTGCCCCGGCGCTCGGCGCTCGGCGCTCGGAGCTCGGGCCCCGCCGGCGGGTCAGCGCCGCCGCTGGAAACCCGGGAGTGCGCGCGCCCGGGGGAGGGCCGGCGCCCTTCGCAGCTCCGTCGCAGCCTGGAGGGGTGCGGGCCGCCAGGGGTAATCCCGAAGGCCTGGGTAAAAGATCCTTCTCCCCCCCCCTCCCGCAAAACAAAAACAAAAGCCAAAGAACCCCTCCCCAACCAAACCAACCCAACCAACCAACCAAACAAAAACCCCCAAAACAAAAAGCCCCTAACGGAACCCAAGGATCTTACACCTCGCGCCCTGAGGGGAGTTTGAGCTTTGGCTTTCATCAGGCTGAACAAATTTCCAAGGAATCAAACTGACTTCAAACATTAGCAATTAGAAACCAAGAATCATTCGGCCTGAAGTACTTTTAACCCTTAACCATTTCCAAATGGGTAATTCTGGGGTCAGTAAATATCCTAGCCAGTCAGTTAAAAAGGAAAATCATTCTGTCGGTTCTTTGAGAAACAGAGGATCCTCGGGTGCCTCAGATGGTCATGATGACAGAGATGCCCCCTGCCCTCTAGAAAGCTGGCATTGCTCAATTGAGACAAAAGGACAGCAAACAATTGTCCTTCACGCTATACTTGGAGGTTAAAAACAGTGAAGTAATTCTTCTCCTAAAAATAAATTAAAAAAAAAACTACCCATAGAAATGACTACTAATCTTTGACTACTACATTCTTACTACATAAGAAACAGGCAGGAATGGTTTCCCTGCTACAGTCCAGCAACTCAAGGTTAGCTGAGAAGGAAGTCTTTCCTGGAGGCTCCAAGTGTCAATCACACTGAGCCCCAGGGCCCTGAATTGTAACCTAGGGGGCTTAGGGAACTTGGGTGGTTCAGGGCTTGTGTTCTTGCTCCTGAAAAATATACAACTGATTTGTAGGGAGGAGCAAGCATTGGTGTTAATAAGTGATGGTGAGCACAGCCATACTTTTCCTAGGTTTGACAAAACCTCCTCCATTTAGTGGTCTTGTACTTTGATTGATTGATTGATTGATTTGCAGCAAAGCTGGGGGATGGGTTATATACCTATGCACTAATGAGGGGATAAAAGGATTTGTGAGAAAATGGATCCTATGAGTAAGCTTGCAGAAGAATACTGAATTGTAAAATATTTCAGGAACCTTAATTGGTTATGTGGACATCTTTGAGTCCTTACTGTGCTACAAAGCTTTTAACATGGGCTCTCATATTCAAGATTATATCCATGTCTTATGACAGAAAGAGGGCTCGAATAGCTTAAACAAGACCTAGAGTCTAGTACTAGCTTTATCATTAATTTTGGAACCAGGGATATTTGTTCTAAGGCAGATGTATAAATGTGAAAAAAATGTTTTAAAGTTGTTTCATAGCCACTGATGAGGCTTCAGTTCCTGGTTTGTGAAATGAGGGAGAGAGATTCATGTGACATGTGAAGCCCCTTTAGCTGTAAGATTCTGTGAT